ACTTTCTTTACAATATGCTACCAAGCCTCGATCCTTACCATGGCATCCCACCTGGGATTGTGTCTTTCTTCCTCGATGTGCCATGCTCTTTCAGAACAGATGGTCTGCTATTCCTTCCTTTGGCCTTTGTATCCAGGCACAACTGGTTGAATTGGGTCTGGCATTGGATGACGTTGCTGTCCCCAATGATCAGCCCATTCCACCATGGCTTATTACCATCCCTTCCTGTGACCTTTCTCCGAGTCATCTGAGGATGGCGGATACTCCCAATTGGAAGTACCGTCTTCTTTTTGCTGAACATCTTTTGAGCCATTCTTCTCTTCCTATTTACATGGATGGTTCGAAATTGGGTGACTTTGTAGGATCTGCCATGGTGTGCTGTGGTTCGGTAGTTGCTCACAGGATCCTATCTATAGTTTCTGTGTTCACTGCCGAGTTGTATGCTATTTCTCTTGCCCTGGATCATGTAGAAGCTATGCAGTACAGTAATTGTACTATTTACACTGATTCTCTTAGATCTCTATTGGCCCTAGAATCGTTTGACGTTAGTTCTAACCCTGTTCTCGTCTATATTCAACACCAATTGGCCCACTTTTCTCTATCTTCTATTTCCATCTAGTTTTTCTGGATCCCTGGACACGTCAGTATTCACGGGAATGAGCTCGCTGACTTCGCAGCTAGGTCCGTCTGCTCTGGTGCCATCGTGGTCGTGCCTGTCCCATACATGGACTACGGTCCTGTCTTCAAGGCGCAGCTTCATGCCAGTTGGCAGTTGACTTGGGGTGAGCAACATCATTACAAGCTTTTCCAGATCAAATCTTCTGTTGATCGTTGGCCGTCTTGCTTCCTTAAGGATCGGAAGGAGGAAGTAGTCCTGGCAAAGCTATGCATTGGTCATAGTTTTTTAACCCATTGTTTCCTTTTATCAGGTATTGACCCACCGATGTGTAGCCATTGTGACACTCAAGTCACAATAGCCCACACTTTACTGTCATGCTGTCGTTATGACCGTGAGCGGCGGCACCATTTTAGACACATGTTTTCTAAGAGTTTACCCCTGATGTTGGACAGTATCACTGGTAATGGTGACACTGTCCGATTCAATTGTATTTTTAATTTTTTACTATACTATATGTCTTTTTAATTATATATAAATCTTTTATCGGCATATATTGG